CATTAGCTAGTATACCATATGCGGGCGATGTCCATGATATGAGAGAGGGGAGGGGGGAATCCCTGCTTGAGCAGCAAGTTGTTGGGGGGTGGGGGGGAGGCGGGGAATGGAGCAAGGGGAATCCAGAATGACACTGATGCACCTGCAGTCTCTGCCAGTGATCCAGCCAGGGAGCAGAGGGATGGGGCCAGCTCTCCTCTGGAGCAAAGAGTCCCACCCAGGGCTGCAAAACATCTGGGATGCTGGGGGACTCTGGTTTAAGTTAAACTAGGAAGGGGTCTGGGACAGACATTGCATAAACTGGTTTGACCCAAATCAATTAAGTCTGATATTACATTTAGCCAGGTTTATCTCAAACTCGTTTCAGCCATTTTCAAACTGGTTTATGTGCACTGAACATCTGTTCTGTTATAGTTTTAAACCAGTTTCTGATCACTTAAACCGGTTTTGTGTAATGTCTGTTCCTAGCCTTTGAGTTTCAGTCTCCTTTAGCATGAAGCACCCAAAACCACTGATCACTTGATAATCGTGACTAGGCTGTCAGAGATTCTGCAGCTGGCTGGTTTTTATCTATGAGAGGATGATCCAGTATTTTGGAAACTTTTAATGATAAGACATTATCATTTCTGTTATTTTCAAATTTTTGTTGGGCAGCAACAATTTTAAGAGCATATTGAACTTATCCCTCACTTTTGTTTCCCAAGATCTGTCTCCCTCCAGCCTTTCCTCTCACTTTCTATTTTGTCCATTTTCCTAACTGGCCAATGAAACCCAATGCTGTTTACTTCTTATAAAATCTAAACAGTGTATTTTTTGAAGTTATTTAGAATAAATATCAGATAATTTAAACTAAAGTTTTAAGGTATAACAATCCAAAAAGATTTTAACACCAACCTACATTGTGGTACTGTGTTCTGTTACTTTACATAGAGAGATTTTTTACAAATTTATTAGAAAAGTGAGCAAGAGTAGAACAAATTAATCTAGTTCAGGTGCTCATCTTTTTAATAATCTCAAAGCTCTATTATTCAAAAGTCCTATTATCTAGGTAGTTGAAAAAACATGGCCTTCAAAAGCATCTGAAGCATATTAATAAAAAAGTCTTCTCACAAATAACAGCAGAATTAGATTAGTTGCCATTTCAGATAGAACGGAAAATTCTTTGTAATATTTATGTGAAAGCAATTTAGAACATTTTAAAGTATTCTTTGCCAGAAATCAAGGATATTATGATAAATGTTTCTTCCCCTCACAGATTTTGTATTGAATAAATACGAAGGGATCCCTATACCCCTGTGGAAGGTATATCAATCTATTCAGTTAGGAGGAAGCAATAATTTTGCCATGGGCTTATATGAAATAATTCATGAAATCTAAAATGACATAACTGAAAACGTTAACATTCTTGAAAGCACAAAAAATAGCACTTTTCTAAATATTACAATAGCAATGCCCACTACCATAGATGTTGTAGGACAGGCTGCCTGAAAATCTTGGCACAACTTTCTCAACAACCCTTCCATATCAGCATTTAGGCTAGTTACTAGTAACCTTTGATATCTACTGACTTGCTTAAATTACTACATGAGCAATAGAATGTGGCTTGCCATATGCACTCCACACTGACTTGAAGAACTCAGTCCCCAAAAGTCCCACCCTATCCTGTCAAGACTAGTGTTCTTCCTGCATTTCAGGAATCTGTTTTTCTCTGATGCTCCTGTATCCCACACCTCTTTTCAACTGTTTGTTAAATGAAACTTAGTCTTTTCTGTTGTAATCAACTAAAATTTGTTTATCACCGCAAATTTATTTTTTGTGTATTATCCTTTTGCAAGAGAGGCAGTCTGTACACTATAAGTTATAAAAAGCAAGTATATGGAAAATGCCCTAATAAGCAGTAATTCTTGAAAAAATATATTTAATTTAACTAGCATACTATAATTTAGTTTTGTCACTTGTATGGTTTTTTGTTCCACATTTCACTGGTTTTACATTTATCAAAATTAATATGATTTTGTTTGACAGAGAGAGAGAGAGGGAGAGCTGAGGGATAAATATATTTCTAATTAAAATTTCATGTTGATTTAAAATGCTTACATATGAATTACCACGCCTGGCTTTCAGGGTCTAGTGTGTGTGCTGTCAAATTATTTGATAGGGATTCACTGCATTTTCATTTTCTTGTGACAGAAGATTCCCTAAGGCCATATAGAGCCCTTGATCTGCATTCATAATGTCTGTCGACATGAGTCAGTAGGAATTATCTGCACAAACTGAGGGCTATATAGTGCTTCCAGTATCTGTTATTTTTCATTGTACTCCAGCTCTACGACAAGTTACAAATCACCATTATTAAACTGCTGAACGGTAGGGAGTTGCAAGGCTCGATTATGTAAAGAAAGGTTTAATGTAGTTACCAAATTATATCTAAAACATTTACATTTCTTTCTTGAATCACTTTACTGTATACTGTATATACATTGCATAAAGAATATAGCACAATCAAATGTTTGGCTTTGCCTTACGTGTCAACCTATTCAAAAGAATGACAGGCTAACTGCTTCTGACACCTGCCTTGCTACCTTTTCTATAGACTTTGTTAAGGAGTCTCGAAGTGTGCAAGTACTCATGGGTTCCCTGCAATAAGACTGTAATAAGGGTGCAAAAATGTACACAGTAATATGCAGGGGATATGCCTCTGAGTAGAGTATTTAATTTGGTTGGTTGACTTTAAAATTTAAAGAATTTAAAAGCATTTGGTGGATTTTAATTCATTTTTCTTTTTTAATATATAATTTATCTTACATTTTTTCATTCCCCCCCTGGTTTTTTTTTGGTTTACATGTTGCTTTCATTCATTTGTAGAAGAAAAGAAAGCAGATCCAGAGAATGGGGATGCAGGTAGGGCAGCTTATTCAAAATCTCTTGGTCTTTATGCCATTTGTGTTGAGCTATGGTATTACGCAATGTGTCTGAGTCCTTTAGTCAGTATAAAATATCAGTGCATTTTGATGAATGTGGTATTCATATTAGAAAACAGATGCTGCAAAACCATTTTGGGTTTTATGAAGAAAATAACCTTAGTTTGACTTCAACAGCCAAAGTCACACATTTCCACTCCAATTTGAATGACTTACCTTCTTCCATATACCTGACTCTGTGAAAGAGTTGCACTTACAATAAAATTCATCACTAATTAGACCCTCTTAAAAAAGACAAAATATTTAATTTTCCCTGAGTAATAATAAAAATGTTGAGTAACCCATTAAAATGGTTGCATCTTGAATTCAAGAATAATGCAAATATAAACTAGGAAATGATTGGCTACATTCTTAATTGTATTGCACCAGTGATTCTGGTGTCCAGTGTGAACCAGCTCAGCCCAGTACAAGTTAGAGCTAAGAACTCCTCTGAACTATGGTGAGGCACAGTACTACATTCTGGTGCTACTCAATTTTAGTGGTGACACTCCAGCCACACCACCTTTCCATGGGGACAGTCAGGATTGGGAGTGGATAAGAACAAGCCAGTTACGGTGGTTCTTCACTATCCAGAAAGTCTCCTGTGCCCAAGTTAACTTCAAGTAGTTAAGTAAACCAACTTTCAGCAGCTTTTGTATAGTAAAACAGCCTTTAACACAGGCAAAGCTTGGATATGATGTATATATATTTATATGTTAGAGTAAAATTCTGAAAACTGATGCACAAGAAACCTATCAGGAAATGTAATCACATCTGTCAAGGTAAAAAAAAATGGTGTCTATAGGGGTGCTACTTGTATGCACACAGTTGAGCTGACTGTTATATAGTAAGCTCAGATAGGTCACATCTTGACTATTAATGATAACAGACTTTGGTACAGTTTAGCAATCCGTGTAAATACCAAGGCTTCAAGCAGGCTTATCCCACCCAGTTTGAAGTTTATGCTGCTGCAGTTCCACTGTTCTTGGTAACTAAGATAGCTTGGGTATGCCTTCATATATTCCATTTCTCCCAAGTGCCATAGAGTGATATCAGGGTTTACATTAAAACACTTGCACACTTGTGCAAGCTGTGTTTAGAAGTAGCCGTCAATGGGTGCTGTTCTCCTTATATAAGGCTTTATGTACCTGTAAACTCCAACAGTTACTGGACACTAAGAATGCTATTTCCTACTTGATTGCCCAAATACAGGGGGATGCAGCTGATGATAACTTATGGCACCCAGTAACCCTGAACAATCTTTCTGCATGTCAGTTCCATGCACTGCAGAACCACAGCTGAGCTGCTGCATTATGAGCTTTCCATTGCCCCTAGGATTCCCTCTTTTTTCATACAATTAACTTAAGATGTTTTAATATTACATAAAATGTAGAACAGATTGTGTTTTAATGCCATCTTATAACCATCCTTTCAAAACTATTTTTAACTAAATTATTTTTTGAGTTTATTCAAAGTTTTGTACTCAAATTTTAAAAATATTTCTTCTTATGAAATACAATGAGCTGTCTTTATTTTTTATATATGGGGGACTAAGCCATCTCACATTTCCCTTCTGCAGGACATAGATCAAAATGGCTGTCAGCTCTCACTGATTGGTTTGCTTTAGCTCAGGTTAAAAAATATGGGTGAGCATAAGTAGGAATTGCAGAATTTTAATTTACTATAAATAAGGTTTTAAGGTCTTGGAGGATGCAATTAAAATTCAGACAGGGTTCTTTGGATAGAAGTGATATCTTTTATTAGACTAACTAAATAATTGGAAAAATTGTTCTTTGCAAGCTTTCAGGCACAAACACCCTTCTTCAGGGATGGGAGAGTTTGCTGGTGTAATGAGTGCTCTTCTGGGTAGAACAGAAGCCAATATGCAAAATACAGGTCTGTGAAAATGCAAATACATGGTAGTGAGGTTCAGAGGGAATGGGGAACAATAGATATGGGGCAGGTAGTTTGGGTGGGGAGGGTAAAGGGGGAATGTTCAACTGGTGATAGAGTATAGCTGGTAAAATGCAGACAGGTTACCTGGGGTTATCAGATAGCAGGCAGGTCATAATGTGCCATAAATCCAATGTCTATTGAGTCCATGATTTTATGTATCCAGTAGATTTATGAAGTGAAGTTCGTAGGCTTGCTTACCAAAGGTGTTTTGTAAATTCCCTTTGAGGATTAGAATTTAGAGATTGGAGAGAGAGTGGTTGTTTTGTGAGAAATGTGCTGCCATAGGTAATTGGGTAGTTTTGTCTTTGATAGATTTCTGGTGTGCATTAATTCTGGTACACAGTTGTTGTTTGTTTTCTCCTACATATTTTCTATCAGGGCATTTAGTGCAGTGGATGAGATGTATTACATTTCTGGCGGTGCAGGTATAAGGTCCAGGAATAGTGATGGTTCTGTTGTGGGGTGTAATTATTGTGGGAGTGGTGGAGATATGTTGGCAGTTTTACATTTCTCATCCTGGCATGGTCTGGATCCATTCCTACCTCCAACCCTCCACCACCTACTTGTCTCACATTTGCTGTTCACCATTCCCTCTGATCCTTACTGCCATGCATTTGCATTTTCACAGACCTGCATTTTGTATATTGGCTTCTATTACACCCAGGAGAGCACACATTACACTAGCAAACTCTCCCTCTGCCTGAAGAAGGGTGTGCCCCCAAAAGTTTGCAAAGAACAATTTTTCTAGCTATTTAGTTGGTCTAATAAAGAGACATCACCTCTACCCAAAAAACCTTGTCTACCTATGTCCTTAGACCAACATGGCTACAACCAACAACCATAAAACAATTTAAAATTCAGTAATTCAAGGCGGGGGAGGGGGAGAGGAGGATAGAATTTATTAAAAATCTAGGTCTGCACAGATCTTTCTACAACAAACAAAGAGTATACCTACATAGTAAAACAACTGTGCCTAAATTGATTTAAACATTAATAGTAATTGAAACAAAAGCTTTTTATGGGTATTTATATTGATAATCTTGCTTATCCAAGTAATTCAGGAATCATATTAACTCCTGCTTAATTATGTAAAACAAATTAGTTTGAAGTCAGGTATGTAGAAGGTAGAGCGGGGTGGCATATTGGACTGCCTGGTTCAGAGAGGCATGAGTTTTTGTAGGCAAATATCCTTCATTAGATATATCCTCAACACAAATGTTTTCCTTATCAGATAATATTAGGTTCTGGCAGTATTGGAAAGATAGGAAAAATTAGAATTGCAACAAAACATCTGCTTTTACTTTTTACAAGATTGTAGGTAAAAATATATATTCTTGAAAATATACGAGAATTTTTTCTAATATATTTCCACTTCTTGCAGTTTTCTCAATTTTTCATGGCACAATATCCAAATTATGGACTTTTTCAAATTTGACAAGAGTTGATTATTTCATAGTACAAGCTTACAGGGATCAAATTCATCCTTTGTCCCCTTGTCTTTGATGAAAATCCATTTTTTTAAATTAAAAATGGCAGAAAATCTGTAAAATATCCTAATTTCAATGGAAGTATGGGTTGTTGTTCTTTTTAACCAGGACTAACAATATTATTTTCAGTTTTGTTTAAGGAAACTGCTATAATATTTATGCTACTGAAAAAAGAAAAATATTACACTTCACTTTAAATTGTCTGTGAGGTTATATTTATCTGTATTGCTCCAGAGATTATAAAAGAGCAGTGAATAGGTACTTTGCCTTTCAGAGGCTACCAAGCAATTCAGCCACATTTCAACCTTTTTATCAAAGCACTTGCATCTACTATTTCAAATAAAGAAATAACTTTATTATTGAACAGAGAAAATTAATCACTATCAAAGCACTTTAAATTAAATTGAAAGTTACAACAGAATAATTGTGACCCATTGGTATCTGCCAACTACTGCCTCAGATATATAAAATGGTTTATTTAAAATGGGTGTGATACATTTGATTTATCTTACAGCATTTTTCACCTGCTACTTTTTTCTTAAAACTCCATTTTATGGGCAATTCATTTTTCCCATTGACTTTCATCCTCGGGGTTAGGATTTCTGATGAATTCATAGATTCATAGAAAAGGAGGGCTGGAAGGGACCTCAGGAGGCCATTGCCTGCTGGAGGCAGGATAATCCATCCCATACATCCCTTATCTAACCTATTCCTAAAACTATACAATCAGACTTGTTTTGAGGTAGTTTAAAGGAAAGCAGAGGTCAGGAAGGTGTGCTGCTAATAGTACATAATGTTTTTGTTTTTACTCTATACCAGGGGTCAGCAACCCCAGGCACATGTGCCAATCATGGCATGCAAGGCTAGTTTGCGTGGCATACCACCACCAGCCCAGGCTCTAAGCAGCTGCTGCCAGCCACGGAGCCCAGGCTGCTCCCAGCAGGCAGCTGGGAGGCTGCAAGCCCTGCTGCAAGCAGACCAGTCTCCATGGGCTGGCTGCAGCTGGGAGGCTGCAAACGGCTGCTCTGGGTTCCAGCACGTCGACACTCCGGCACCTTCCAAGACAGACGTTGTGGTTTTTTCAGGACTCTAGCCAAAAAAAGTTGCCTACCCAAGGTCTACACGTATTACCTCCATCTTCCTATTTTCTAGCTGAAAGAGACAGGTTTTATACTCTGGGATCCTGGTTTTCTCTGATAAAAAAATCTCAAATTCTCTGATAAAAATGCAGATTATCTGGTAAAAACCTCAAAGTCCATGATTAAAATGAAATACCACTATATATGTATATAGATATCATTTGAACACAATGCTTTATAGATATATTTAAATTTTAAAGCATTTTGGAAGCCTACCAGTGCCTCAATAACTATAATAAAATAAATTCTAAATACCTATACATTTTGGAATTTGATTTTGGGTTTTTTATCATGGTAAATCAGAGCTCTGCCTGCCCCCTTCACTCACAGAATGCAGGTCCAGGCCCCTCACTCCCAAGTGAACCCCCCAGCTCTGCTGGTGCCCCCTCATTCCCACACCATAGCCCCCTGGCTCTGCTGGTGCCCGTCATTCCCTGCAATAGCTCCCCAGCCCTCCTAATGCCCCTCCCTCCCCACCCCTGGACCTGCTGGTGCAGTGTCCAGGGCAACAGGGCCAGGGACCTGGGTTTGCAGCCTCCTCCCCCCACAGCAGTGCCCAAGCCCCAGCTGCCACCCATGGGAGATGGCAGCTGCTGTAGTGACGTGGAGTATGGAGCCCAGCTCCCCCCCACTGCAGGCAGCAAAGCTGGAGCAGAGCCCATGGAGGGGGTGGGTGCAGGCTGCATGCTGTGGGCTTGAGTGCAGGCTGCTCATGGCTCAGTCCCACTCCCCACTGGGAGCCATGCATTCCAGCCTCAGGCCCCAAGCCCCACGCATAACCCAGCTGGGCAGCATTCCCATCCCTAGCCATGGTTGACTCCCTCCCTTCTGCTTTATGGGGGGCTCAATCCCCCCTCCCCACTACCATACTTACCTGGAGGAGCTGCTCTCCAGTCTGTCTGATGGCCATGTGCATATACATACACATGGTGCCTACTGCCTAACCACCCTCCTTCCACTCCCCTTGCAGGCTGGAACTCTGCCAGCTTACAGAGAGCTCTTTGCAAATGTGCAAAATCTGTGCGTTTCTCCTTTAAAACAAGAATTTCATGTTTTTCTTGGGTAAAGGGGGAAATCCACATTTTTCTTAATTTCTTATGGGAAATGGAAAACTTGTATCCCTGTTAATAATTAATATGCATCTTTTGTAGTAAGTAGTGCTATCACCAGAACTGACTCTCAAGGATATCCTAAGCCCCATACAGAGGCCCTGCACAAGGCTTTATTTTACAGTTAATGCACCCTTAGAACTGATGCTTAGGATTTAAATAAGATATTATATATAGGGTATGTAAAGTTAAGCTTCTAATTCCATATATAATGGCCAGATTTTCAATAGCACTAAGTAAATAGCAGGTTCAATTTAGAAATTTTAAAAATTAATTGAAAATCTTGTGTTCTTCAAAAAAACATTTAGTATCCTACATTTAGTATTCTAATAATTTAGTAAAATTATTAGAAAAATTAATCAACACAACTATTAGCCACAAAACATTATGAAAAATGAATATTGTTGATTATGTTGCTTCAGATAGAAACTTGGCATTCATTAGTCCCCTCTATTCATTTACATTGGTGGTCTATTGATATCAATGGATTTATATGAAACTAAATGGATTTATACTAAACTAAATGGGAGGAGGATCAGGCCTTCTAGCTAAACAATGCGTGCATATTTTTTCTTTGGTGATAGCCCCTTTTTGGTCAGATATTTGCTCACAATATTATTCTAAGACCATTAACTTCTCATTTTCACTTCCACCTCTCCATCTACATTGGTACTTTTTTTGGTTATTATTTCATTAAAGTAGAGTGTGACGTTGCAGTGCAGATTGACTGAAGAGGGATGCTCCCTTGGGGATAAAGCTAGGACCTGTCTTACAGAGACTAATCATGTGTTTGGTCTCTTGTGATCCAGGAAGATGAATCATGAAATCATTCTTGAAGCTATATGTCACTGCAGAGTGATACAGTAAAACCACTGTGCAATTATTCAAAATATATATTAAAATGTATTTATAATAAATTATGATAAATGAAAGACATTAAAGCCAATTAGATTATAGCTGGTCAGCCTTATTTACTCATAGCAGCTTTTGTCCTATTAGTTGATATAAATTGAATATCACCATAAAAGGCTGTATCAGGTTGCCTTCACATTAGTATTTATTTTCTTTAAAGAAAAGTTTTTATTTTTCCCTTTTTTTTGTAACAGTAATAACCCGGTGAAAACATTCTATTCCATTTACATTCTTTCTTCATATGAGAATTATGTTAATTTGTACTGTGTAGATAATAAAATATTTATTAAAGTATTGTTAGAATAATAAAATCTACTACTAATTTCCAGCAGTTATGGCTTTTCTCTCATTTTTTTCCACAAAATTGTAATTTTGAAGATAGTTTAATGTATATAGAAGTACATACACAATAATTAAAATAAGATTGTATCTCTTCCATTAGAAATTTCATAAACTATGTTTTAATCTCAGGACTGAAAAACAGGTGTATTTATTTTATTTACTTATTCTGTTTACTTGACAGGTGCAATGGAAGCAGAAGAGAGAAATCGCCAAATGAAAATGAGCAAGTACAAACAGGTAGCAGGATCAGACTCCAGGCTGGAGCAAGATTATCATACTCAGGCAAGGGAGATATTTTTTTTTTTTGAAAAGCATAAAAATATGATAATCCAACAATTGCTACTCCTCTGCATAGCCATAAACCAAGCTGTGAATCTTGTATAGGAATTTTATTGTTTTACTAAGAGGTTCTTATATGTTTGTTCTAAATCATTGAAAGAGGTGCAAAAATGTGTAAGGTTTTATAACATGGAACATAAATCTAAATAATGCTACAACTAACAAAAACATAATAATAATAACGTGTTTAAGAAATAGGAGTTAACTGATGAAAGGCAGTGTTCATTGACTTCAAAAAGTGAAAAATTGGCTATAAAAATTTCTGGTGGAGTAGATAGTAAGAGTCAAGATGATAAAAGATAAAAAGGAAGTAACAGAAAGATTCTAGAATTATATCTCAGTATAAGAAGTACTAAAACCTATGCCTGATTTTCATACTGAAGAGTTATCAGTTGCATCAGCTACCCCAATTGATATTTAAAGTTATATTGGCCTTCTGAAGAAGACACAGACATCAGAATTTTTATTTTGTCTAATAAAGTTTAGCTACTCAAAAGATATTTTTACCAATCTTGTCAGTAAACAAGACTCCAACTTACTTGTAGCAATTTGCAAAAAAAAAATAGTTGTTTTCATGGTAGTAGGTTATACATTTATTGTCTAAAATTTCCTGTTACTGGGAACTGGGTAGTGTTATATACCATGTGTTATTTAAATTTAAGATATTTTCATTTTTTTAAACTCCATTATGGGAAAAAAATATTTAGTGTCTTCTATGAGACTTCATTAAGTTCAGAGGTCTAGGGCTAGACTATGAGAAAAACAGACTTTAACAAATGAAAGCTTGCAGAGGAAGATAATTTTGTTGTAGACATATATGTTAATGAGGACTGACAAAAATAAGGCGTTTGAAATGTGAAAGCGAAGAAACCAGCAATTTTAGGCACTATTATTAGCTCTATAGTTAATTTCGGTTAATTTAGTAAATTGTTTTCTAGTAATGTGATTCCTAATGGTGAAAAATACGTATTGTGAGAGAAATAAATGTCTTGTGAGTAGTAAAAAGAATTAGAATTAAGTGAAACAAAAGGAAAACTAAATTTTTACATGTAGAACGTTTAATCCAGTTTATTTGCTCATAGGTATATTTGCTGCATAGCATAGCATATAAATTCATAGATTCATAGATATAGGGTCAGAAGGGACCTTGCAGATCTTCTAGTCTGACCCCTGCCCTGGGCAGGAGAGAAAACTGCGCTCAAATGACCCCAGCTAGGTAATTGTCAAGCCTCCTCTTGAAGACCCCCAAGGTAGGAGCCAGCAGCACTTCCCTTGGAAGTTAGTTCCAGATCCCAGCTGCCCTGACTGTGAAGTAGTGCGTTCTAATGTGTAGTCTGAACCTACTCTCTGACAACTTGTGGCCATTATTCCGAGTTACCCCGGGAGGCGCTCGGGGGAACAAGGTCTCTCCCATTCCCCGTTGGTCCCCTCTAGTAAGTTTATAGATGGCCACCAGGTCCCCTCTCAGCCTTCTCTTGTGAAGGCTGAACAGGTTAAAGTCCCGTAGCCTCTCCTCATAGGGTCTGCCCTGCTGTCCCCTGATCATGCAGGTGGCCCTCCTTTTGACCCGCTCAATGCTGTCCACATCCCTCCTGAAGTGCAGCGCCCAGAACTGGATGCAGTACTCCAACTGTGGCCTGACCAGTGTCTCATAGAGGGGGAGGATCACCTCCTTGGCCCTGCTTGTGATGCATCTGTGGATGCACAACAAGGTGTGGTTAGCCCTACTGTCCGTGTCCTCGCATTGGTGGCCCATGTTCATCTTGGAAACGATAATGACTCTAAGATCTCTTTCTGCCACTGTGCTTTTGAGAAGAGAGTTCCCCAGCCTATAGGTATGCTGCTTGCTTTTACTGCCCAAGTGCAACACCCTGCACTTGTCAGTATTGAATTCCATCCTATTCACATTTGCCCACCCCTGTAACCTGTCCAGGTCCAGCTGTATCCTGTCCCTCCCTTCTAGTATGCCCACCTCACCCCAAATCTTGGTGCTGTCCATGAATTTAAACAGGGCGCTTTTCACCCCCTCGTCCAAGTCGCTAATAAAGAAATTGAACAGTGCGGGCCCAAGGACCGAGCCCTGAGGGACTTCACTGCTCATATCCCTCCATGTTGAATATGACCCGTCTACCACCACACTCTGAGTGCGGCCCCTCAGCCAATTTGCTATCCATCTGACTGTGTAGGCATCAATGCCACAGTCACCTAGCTTTTTAATGAGAATGGGGTGTGAGACAGTGTCAAAGGCCTTCCTGAAGTCCAGAAAGACTACATCCACTGTGACACCTGCATCCAGTGATTTTGTGACCTGATTGTAGAAGGCAATCAGGTTGGTCTGACAGGACCTGCCCCTAATGAAACCATGCTGGTTGCCCCTGAGCATCGAGGCCCAGAAGCCTCACATCGGTCTCAGGGAAAATCCTTGAAAAAATCATTAAGGAGCACATCTGTGAAGGGCCAGCAGGGGAGATCACACCTAGGGGAAATCAACATGGGTTCATCTAAGGCAGGTCCTGCCAGACCAACCTGATGGCCTTTTAAATCCCTGGATGATGGTGTCACCATGGATGTAGTCTTTCTGGACTTTAAGAAGACCTTTGACACTGTCCCTCACCCCATTCTCATTAGCAAACTGAGCGACTGTGGCATTGATGCCTACACAGTTGGATGGGTCAAAAATTGGCTAATGGGGTGCACCCAGAGAGTGGTGGTGGATGGGTTGTACTCAACCTGGTGGGATATGAACAGTGGGGTCCCCCAGGGCTTGGTTCTGGGCCCTACACTGTTCAACATCTTCATCAGCAACTTGGACAAGGGGGTAGAAAACATGTTGTCCAAGTTTGCCGATGACACCAAGATGTGGGGAGAGGTAGGCATGTTCGAAGGGAGAGAGAGGCTGCAATTAGATTTAGACAGACTACAGAGGTGGGCAGATGGTAATAGGATGGGATTCAATGTAGATAAATGCAGGGTGCTGCACCTGGGGAGAAGGAATCCACAGCATACATACAAACTGGGGAGCTTCCCCCTTGTGAGCACAGAGGGGGAAAGGGATCTTGGAGTCATTATTGACTCTAGGATGAACATGAGCTGCCAATGCCAGACTGCAGCCAGCAAAGCCAACCACACCTTGTCGTGCATCCAAAGATGCATGTCAAGCTGGTCCAGAGAGGTGATACTCCCCCTCTACGTGACATTGGTCCACCCTCAATTGGAGTACTGCATCCAATTCTGGGCACCGCACTTTAAGAAGGATATGGCCTGCCTTGAGAGGGTTCAGAGGAGGGCCACCCACTTGGTTGGAGGGCAACAGGGTTGGCCCTATGAAGAGAGGCTGAGGGACCTGAACCTGTTCAGCCTCAGCAAACAGAGGCTGAGGGGAGATTTGGTGGCTGCCTACAAACTTGTTAGGGGAGATCAGCAGCAAATAGGAAGAGCCCTATTCTCCCCAGCAGCACCTGGAGTGATGAGGAACAATGGCCAGAAGCTGCTGGAGAACAGGTTCAGGTTAGAGATTAGGAGGTACTATTTCACTGTCAGGGTAGCTAGGATCTGGAACCAACTTCCTAGGGAAGTGGTCCTTGCTCCTACCTTGGGTAAATTCAAAAAGAGGTTGGATGAACACCTGTCTGGGTTCATGTGATCCCAGCGTATGCTCCAACCAGTGGCAGTGGGTTAGACTAGATCATCTATTCAGGTCCCATCTGACCCCTAACTACTATGAAACTATGAAACTGTAATCATCCCTGCTGCTGGCCCTTCACAGATATGCTCCTTGATAATCTTGTCAAAGAGCTTCCCCAGAATCAAAGTAAGACTAACGGGCCTATAGTTGCCCGGGTCCTCCCTCCTCCCTTTTTTGAAGATGGGGACCACATTGGCCCTCTTCCAGTCATCCAGCACCTGGCCAGAGCACCATGAGAGAGCACCTGGCCAAAGCACCACCATATAATATGCATGGCCTTGTAATAACACGTAGAAGGGGTTTGGGATCTAATATATATTTTATGTTGAGTTATATGGAAAGATAATTTCTAAATTTCTATATTATGGCCACTTTTGAAAGGAACTATGTTGTTTTTTTTTACATGGATGGATTTAGAACTGTTATTGCACTTTTCCATAAGAACCACTATGATCCTATGCAGTGTAGAAGTACAGTGAATGCACGGAATCTATCTACAATTTATTCAGACAATTCTCCTGCTTAGTCAGTAGCTGAATGTCATCATTAGTCACATTAGGTGCATCTACATGAGACACTTTATTGCGGAATTGACTAATTAGCTCCGCAGTAAAACGTCACCATCTACATGTGTGCCTCTATTAGGCTGGGGTAAACTAATTAACTCCACTGTAGAAAGTACTGCTCAACACAAGTAGTATCCTATGGTGGAGTTATTTATTTTGCCACAATACACAAGTAGACAGTGACTGGGGCTGGGTGGGGCACAAGGGTGCTAAAGTGTGGGGACTGCCTGCCAGCTAGCCTCACACAGTAGCACGCTTGTGCCCCAGCCAACCCCTCCACAGCATGTTCAGCTAAGAGGGAACAGCTCCAGGCTGGCAAGTTGGCCCCTGGTTCCCCTGCCAGCTAGGGCTGCGCCACCCTGGCTCAATGTGCTGTGGTCCTGGGTGCACATGTAAATGCTGTGCCTGGGAACAATAAACTCCAGTGTGAATTGTGCCAGATTTTATTGTTTTGCATTAATATCATGTGTAGATGCATCCATTGTGTAGTTCCTCACTTCAAAAGAGAGCATTGAAACTACTTGAGGAGTAAGAAGTATTTTGCAAAGAATACTCAATATAGCTTAATTTCAAAGAAGCCTTCCTTCTCTCTGCCTCTCTCTTCTCTCATTCACATTCAGTTCCTTCTGCCTTTCTCTCTGCTATGTGCCCATGTATGAGTTTGTTTTCATAATTCTCCTCTTAGGCTACAT